ACACTGAAGCACAGGCGAAGGGGTCAACAGGTTACCCAGCATGTCAACCTTGGGCTACACCTTTGCATCCCAGGCCAGGACAAAAGGAGCAACAAGGCTTCAGGCCTGGCCTTTTTCTGGGATGCCAGGCAGCCCCAAAGGCCTCACATAAACCAAGGAATCTTCACTGTGACGACACAGCCCCTCTCCCGTCCAACCCACATTACATCGACATTGGATTTCATTGAACCCATTCCAAACTGACATCATCCAGGGGTTTGGCTTCAGAAGGCCCTAGTAACGAAGGTTTGTGTACTGGACGGCAGACTTGGCCATGGGTGCTGACCTGTCATCCCACAACACCCTCCCGGCAGCAGGTGGGCGGTGGCACCCAGAACACCAGTTTGGCTGGCATTTTGCTTGGGGTAAGGCTTGTGGCTGGCCAGCAAGAACCATGAAAAATTATTAAATGCCTTCCAAAAGTGACAAACATCGGGGAAACGGGACCCATCACTGAGTAACCTTTCCACTCCAGGCCAGGGAGAATTGGAAAGCCCACTGCCTAACCTTCAACATGGACAGATTCCGGGACTACCAACAACCTCCACAAGGTAAACATGACTAGCTTTACAGATAGTATAACCAAAGCTCAGAGAGTTCGGGCAATAACTTGCATGAGGCCACACAGCCAGTAAACCACAGAAAATGGGATTCAATCCCTGCCCCATCATTAAGCAATGCTCCTTTCAGGGGAATTCCAAGCTTCCAACTCAAAGTGCATCTCTCTTACTTTTTGCAAAAATTGGAAATCATTTAGTCCCGACTTAAATGCTAGTCTTAAGTCTATACTCCTAGATTATGGAGGTGAACAGAGGTCAAGTGTGTTTGCTGCATGTGGCTAGACTAGAGGCAGGACCAGTCTAATAGGGAAGTTGGCCAGGAGCCAGCAGGCTCCACTTCTGCAGCCACCACTCACTTCACAGCAAAACGTCTCAGGAAGGCTCCCTGTGTACCGCTTGTCCCAGCCTGGGCCCATCTCACTTTCATTCCCTCTTAAGTGTGCACTGGTGTTTTCTAGAAGTTCCATGATAAGTGGCATTACATCACTCTATAAAGCAGAAGGATATGAGAATCGAGCTGACTATGAAGGCGGCCGTTATAGAGATCTGTAGCCATAAAACAATGCTGCTCTACTCTCTGAACTCAGTTTTGAAAATACAATACTCATAACACACCAAGGTTTTTATTTGCTATTCATTCCTTCATTTGAAAGGACATTTAAAATATTCCTGTTTTAGCATTCAACACTACAAATATCCACAGCTATAACCCCAAACCCAAACTTCCTGGAGTCCTCAATTTTGAGAGCGTAAAGCGGCTTACAGACCAAAACCTCTGCCAATCACTGTTCTGCCTGCTCCACCTCTCCCCTTCATCCTCTCTCAAGGCCAGGCTAATCGGGGGCACTGATGGCATCCTGGTGCTAAGCCCAAGTGCAGTTCTTCAGCTTGCTCGGGCCACACGCAGCAGAAGCCATGGCTGATCGCCTCCTCCCATCTCTCCAGTTCTTTCTCAACTGAGGCCGGAGAGCCCAGGAGCTCAGTGCCTGACCTCCGTGTGCACCTACCACAGGACCGGGGCACTCCAGTTTGTATCTCTAGGCTGGATTGGACCCCCATCTCAACCATCTGGATTCTAAGTAGGTGTGGCAAACTTCCAGATGGTTGAAACCCAGCTTCCTACAACCAAGCTTACTGCTCCACTGTCTTTCCAGCATTATCTGGAGACAACTGTGTTCTAACCAGGTCAAAACTTGGAGGTACTGTTAATTCCTTCTTCCTACACCTCACATTTAATCCAGCAGGAAATCCAATTGGATCTTGAGGTCAGAGTTTACCAAACCCCATCTCCTCCCCACTGCTTCACGCCATCACTCCTCAGCTGGACTGTCACAGCAGTATCCCATCTTAGCCCTTACTTGCACAGGAAACAAAGGAACTCCTTCAAAACTGAGATCAGATCACCCCAAGTGTAAGCACCAATGAAATTCCACCTGTCTCAAAACCCAAAGCCAGTCTTTTACCATGGCTCTAAAGTTGCTGCACTCCCTCCCAGCTCCCTCCTGGCTCTGTCCTTTCTGCTCCTGCCTTTACAGTGACCGTCACCTGTAAGGGATGCTCTTTCCCAAGAAACTCAAGACACTCCTTGAACTTTTTCTCATTCTTCTCCAAGGACACTGTAGAGACACGTGGATCTTTTCCATTTAAAAGTACAACCCTATTCTTGCTTCCCAGCACTCAGCATTGTCTAGTAATTACCTATGCCCACTGTCTGCAGTCTCCTCAACATAACAGAAACCCTCTAAGTGCAAAGTGTTATCTTGTTCACTACAGTATCATCTGTGCTTATAATGGGAACAGATACACTGAACGAACAGATAGATCAAGCCTGATTCCAACTGGCCAGATCCAGTCACCCACCACTACTGACTTGAAGCTTTTGGCACAGGGTTTGGCTGTGAGCACAGGGACTTAGGCCCAGGATCACAATTTTAAACGCCCACCCAGTATTGGGCAGAACAGGCAATGGTCAAATTGGCACCACTGGCACTGAACATAATCTATTAGACCACAACTTGGAGATTATCGTGGGACGCTTACCAGTAACTACAGTCCTAACTGCTAATCTTTTCTCCATTTTTAAAGGGTACCCAGTGCTTCTAGATGAAGGAATCACTCCTACTGAGCTAAAACTACCCTGCAAAGCTGTAAAAAAAAAAAATCCCAAGTATTCTATCTCTGATTTTGGGGTTGACGTCGTGGCTCAACAGGCTAATCCTCTCCCTGCAGTGCCGCCATCCCACATGAGCATTAGTTCTAGTTCTGGATTATCCACTTCCAGTCCAACTGCTTTTGGCCTGGGAAGGTGGTGGAGAATGGCCCAAGTCCTTGGGACCCTGCAACCATGTGGGAAAGAGAGCTTCTTCCAAGCTCTGGCTCTCTGCTTTGGATAAGTCCAGCTACTGCCGTTGTGGCCAAATTGGGAGTGAGCCAGAAAATGGAAAATCTCTCTTTCTCCCCATAAATCTGTCTTTCAAATACAGATAAGTGAATCTTAACAACAACAAAAAATCCTTGATGTCAAGTTTTAACACCATAGCTCTAACCCAATTCCGGACCCTCTTCCAGTGACAACCTTCTTCCTATGCCAGAGCAGACCTGAATTCCAGACTCTTTCAAAAGGATGAGATAGAAATGGGAAGTGACAGCATGAAACATAATTAAAACACTGTCTAGGGCCTGGCGCAGTGGTTAAGGTCCTCGCCTTGCACACCCGGGATCCCATATGGGCACCAGTTCTAATCCTGGCAGCCCCACTTCCCATCCAGCTCCCTGCATGTGGCCCAGGAAAGCAGTCGAGGACGGCCCAAGGCTTTGGGAACCTGCACTTGCGTGGGAGACCCGGAAGAGGCTCCTGGCTTCGGATCGGCACAGCATCAGCTGTTGCGCTCACTGGGGAGTGAATCATCGGACGGAAGATCTTCCTCTCTGTCTCTCCTCTCTGTATATCCGCCTTTCCAATAAAAATAAAATAAATCTTAAAAAAAAAAAAAGAAACACTGTCTAGCCAAGCCCTCTGGCTCATAACATACCACTACTCTAAAACTAGCTGTGGTAAATGCTGTTCTCTCTCAGTGGGTAGTAGGACAAATTGGCCTGACATACGTAAGGTACTCAATAAATGTGGGGAAAAAATGTTTGTGGAATGGGAGAACTCAAGCTAGTGACTCACTCCTTAAATACATGTGCTAAGAACACATCACAGACATCACTAGACTCGACCTGGTGTAAACAAACTGCAGCAACAAATTAGGGTGAATTAGGAAGAGAAAGGACAAGTAAGAACTGACCATTGGGATCGGGATGAAAGGCCCACCTGTGCCTGAGAATTTGAGGCCTCACCTCTGTAGTCACTGGAATGGGTCCAGCTTCCCATCACCTGGCATCTCATGGCCAGTTTGCCATGTCAATATTAAGGAAAAGGTAGCCAAGACTAAGGCAAACCTGTCCTTTGACTCAGCAGGACTTCAGGTAAACTACTCCACCCTGGCAGGACTGTCAAGATTGTGAAAATCTTCGCCACACACAGGGCTGGATAGGCTTTCCCTGGCCAGTAGCTAAGATCTTGCTCCAGTCTACAGAAGTAGTGCACACTTCAGGATTTCCCAGCCCAGCCCTGGTCTGCACTGCTTCCCTCCCTCTCCAGGCAGGGCCTCCCTGACCCCCATGTCCACACCCAGTCTCCCCTGTGGCTTCAGGTCCTCAGCTGAGGCCACTCCTTCCACCTGGTACACCCTCTGTCCCTACTTCCCTGCTTTTTCCTAGGGACACCACAGCCTCTGTCCCGCATCCCTCCAAGGGAAAGTGCAAAAACAACTCTACCTGACAAATCAGAGCCCAAAATATAATATGCAGACTCCTACAGGCATATCCACTAACAGATCCTTTGCATTCTGTAAAATGGAGAGCCAACCTGCTATCTAAGCAGAATGGTTCAAGCAGAGTACCGTAGCTAGGATGGGATGTCACACTGAAACCCACACTCTCCAGTATGACGGGAGAAGGTTCCAGTGAGTGACAAGAGCAGGGAGCAGCACTCCACCTAACCATAACAGGTCTAAACTATGTGCAATTGGAGCTGGATGACAGGGACAGGACGAGGGATAGTATTTATCCTCTGAAAATAACACACTTTCTACAGTGAGCACTGATTACTTGATGGTGAGAGAAAGGCCCTGAAGAGACTCAGCTGAAATGCAACCTGCCTTCAGCCTTCTTCAGACTTTCCAGCTTGTACTCAAGTAGCCCCACGTCCCTCCTCGTCAACACTTAGGGAGATGGCTGAGAACTGGCACGTGGTTCTCCTCAGCATGACACTGCCTGCTTGGCAGGACCCACCCCCAGGCCCAGGGTGAGAATCCAGTCCAGTAAGCATTCGTGTTCATGCAGAACAAGGGGAGCGGACTCACCTAGTTTATAACACCCAAGATGCTCAGCCCTGAATTTTTAAGCAGCACATGTGACCTGGTCCATTCTGGTTTCAAGTTCAAAGGCATCAGGCCGGTCCTGTGGGTTAGCAGCTAACATGTCTTTCAAGAGCTGCTTGATCCCCTCAGACATGGAAGTCCTACGTTTCTGGGGGATGTGCAACTCCATCTTTGGGTTTTCTAGCAGCGCCTCGCCAACAGGGACGATCTCAGTCCCCTGTTTGATGTAGGTCCCCAGGAGTTCCTTCTTGGTCTCAGAGTCAATAAAAGTGATTCTCTCGATCATGGCCCAGATGATGATGCCCAGGGCAAAGATGTCCGCCTTGGCCGTGTAGTGTCCCTCCCAGACCTCGGGAGCCATGTAGAAGTCCGAGCCGCAGGCTGAGGACAGCCAGTATTTATTCACATTCACATTTTTGTTGTCATGATTGCCCTCTTTTCCTCGGGGTGCCAGCCCAGCACAGACTTTGCTTAGTCCAAAGTCGGCCACCTTGAGGATGGGGGTGCCCGACCGCTCGGTGATGAGGATGTTGTCCGGCTTTAGGTCCCTGTGCACGATGTGGTTTTTGTGCAGGAAGGCAATGGCACTAGTGAGCTGGAGCATGAAGCTTTTGTTGGTGGCCGGGTCAGGCCTCCGTGACAGGACATACTGATTGAGGTCTCCACCTTCGCAGAACTCCATGACGAACCAGAGATAGCAGGGCTCCTCCGCATAGCCCAGGATCCTCTCTCCTGGATCAAGACAGCAAGGGGCTTTGTGAGACAGGCACATGTGCACACCACTCAAAAAATGTAGTGTACTACAGCACAGAGTGACAGAGCTGACGACCAGGGACTAAGACTGTTTCCTTCACACGCTGACCTGTTTCTATCCACAGACAACAAGGTCTAGACACAGGCATTGGGACAAGTGTCAAACCCTGGAGTTTAGAACAAAGTCAAGAGAGGAGCTCAGTTTTGCACTGTCTGGTGTGACCGGAAGCCACAGTTTCATTATGTGGCTTCCAAGCAAGTAGCTCCCCATCTATCCTGCCCAGAGCTGCTGGTCAAGACACAAGGTGAGGTACGAGAGCTATCAAATGCGTACTGCTTCTGCCACTGTTATTCCATGCCAAGTCAATCTCTCTTCTCTTTGCTGACTTACAAGGAGGATTCTTACAAATGCACCTAGAGCTGCACCAACATTTGGATTTCTTACGACTTATCCTCCAACCCATCAGTAGTCTCTGCCAGAAGTCTCTACCCCATGTCTGGCACAGGTTCAGCATAAAATAAGCCCCGTCCTTTGGAAACTGGATGACAAGGATCTGCCACTGTGGGTCCTTCACCTGCATCAAGGTCAACTTCAACGACTCCATAAACGGTGGGCATGAACCCTCACATCTGTAGAAGTCAGAAAGGACAGGACCCGAGTTAACCTCTAAAGGACAGGCAAGTGAGGCCAAAAGGGAATCCCAGGCTGGGAGATCATGGGGACACATGGATGGCTGCGAAGTCTGGCGGAATGACAGCAGCTACAGTAGATGCCCAAGATGTGTGATCCTGAAACTCGGGGAAGGATAGTGATAAATTTCTCTAAGAAAATCTCAACTGACAGTACAACTGAGCCCTTGTAACATGGAATGTAGCTGAGAACTGCAAGCTAAGGTAAGCAGGCAGAAGCAGGCTAAGAGGGCAACTGTCTTCATCTTGCTCATGAGGAAGCTGAGCTGCAAAGGATGGGTCTTGCCTTGTGAGCTCTCTGGGCATTGGGAACTGAGCCAGAACCTGAAGTCAAGTTCTCTCATCCCCAGCATGCTGTATCCACTGTAGCAAAACCAGGGCTGTATCTCCTTAGGTAAGGCCCTCAGCCCCCAGAGTCTCTCTTACTCGGTTTTTTATCTGACATTATTATAAAGAGAACCAGTAATGTGGGTATGCCGCTAACCCAGTGGCCCTGAAATTACCAAGGACTCACACCTGCTGAAGCCAGTGAGTCAGAGTTCTAGCTTGAGCCCAAAGACAACTTGATATACAAGACAAAAGCTTTAGGTTTGTGACCACAATCTGACAGGTCTCATTTCCCTTGTCATTATAATTTTGCTTCTATTATTCACAATCAGAGCAATACAGGTAGAACCAGTTTAGGGCAGATGGGTTTCTTTTTTTAAAAAATCAGTTGCTTCCTTTCATAATCCTTTCTAGGTCACTGGCCAAGTGAGTCGAGCTGCTGAATCTAAAAGCACTGCAAAATGAAGCAGCAATTTGGGGCCCAGATTGACATAGGTTGTAGATCTGTTACGATGGGAGCAGAGGGCTGGTGCCATGGTGAAGCACATTACGCCTCCCACTGCAGCACTGGCACCCCATAATGTGTACTGATTCCGAATCCCAGCTACTCCATTTTGGATCCAGCTCCGCTCCTGTATCTGGGAAAGAATGCTGTTGTCATACCCAGTTTACAGATTAGGAAACTGAGCTCAGATACCAGCTCTGACTCCAAAGTTAGTAAGTGGCTGAAATTCAGAATTGGGCCCAGGTAGTGTGGCTAGAGAGTCTACCTTCCTGGGAGCCAGCACTGTGTCATGGTAGGCTAAACCTCTGCCTATAGTGCCGGCAGCCCACATGGGTGCCAGTTTGTGTCCCACAGGTTCCACTTCTGATCCAGCTCCCTGCTTACGACTTGGGAAAGCAGCAGAGGATGCTGCAGATCCCTGGGCTGCAGCACCCATATGGGAGACCAAGAAAAAGCTCCTGGCTCCAGATCAGCCCAGCTCTGGTTGTGGCAACCATTTATGGAGTGAACCAGCAGATAGAAGATCTGTCTCTCCTCGTTTCTAAATTTTCCTTTCAAATAAATATAAAGAAATAAAGAAATAAAAAATTAAAAAAAAATTAAAAAGCCATCAGATTCTTTCTGCAAGAGCCCCATCAGAAAATGGTGAAACTTTGGGTGGGGAAATAAAGGATGGAGAATGATGTTTTATACACAAAGTTGGTAACTAAGGTAACAGAAGCAGAAGAAAACAAGCCTGCAAAACAGACTATTATGTAGGGCTAGGTTATGAGAATTCAAGGAGAGAGAAAAGGGCGCGTGCGCACACACACAGCATTCTGAATCAGTGACTGGGTGGGGCAGGCTGCTCTGAGGTGGTGAGCTAAGTTCAAGGCACAGTGGCTGAGACACCATATCAGAGTGCTCGGACTGAAGGCTGTTTCTGTTCAGACCCCTAGGGCATGGCTTAATCACTCAATCACTGCCTCTCACGTGGGAGACTCAGAAAGAGTTCCTGGCTTCCAGCTTCTAGTGGCTCAGCCCCAGCTGCGGTGGGCATCTGAGTGAAACAGCAGATGGAAAATATCTGTCACCATCTTTCAAATAAATATATTATTATTTTAAAAAATATTTATTTATCTTTATTGCAAAGTCAGATATACAGAGAGGAGGAGAGATGGAGAGAAAGATCTTCTGTCCATTGATTTCACTTCCCAAGTGACTGCAACGGCCGGAGCTGCACCAATCCGAAGCCAGGGGCCAGGAGCCTCTTCCTGGTCTCCCATACAGGTGCAGGGTCCCAAGGCCTTAGGCCATCCTCAACTGCCTTCCCAGACCTCAAGCAGGGAGTTGGATGGGAAGCAGGGCTGCTGGAATTAGAACTGGCTCCCATATGGGATCCTGGGGTGCTCAAGGCGAGGACTTGAGCCTCTAAGCCACCACACCAGGCCCCAAATACATACATGCTTTTTAAAAAAGCAGCAGCAGCCCTACCAGACTCCAACACAGCTGACTGATGGAGTTGTGGCTCAGGTTCTTCTCAGCTCAGGGAGCTCCCACCCACTCCATGTTTATTTCCTCAGTTATGGGATGCAGAACTGAACAGGCATAAACAGCAAGTACTGGAAATCTCCATGTGAAATGTAGCATTTTGAGCCGACAGAAGTACTTCAGTTTCCTAACTTCTTTGTCCAGTATCACCTGACAGGTCTGCTGGGAGTTAAAAATTTTGCTCCCTAAAAGAAGTAAACAAACAACTAAATCATTGAGTAAATGTAAGTAACTTCCTTTCTGAGGCAGGAAAAGCTAGCACTATTTGAAGGCAACACAGACTTCAGGCAGCTGAACCTCTGAGAGCCCACCACGTTTTAGGCATTATTTCCAAAGCTCACTACACAAGTGACCTCATCTCAAGGCACACTGCTTTAGAAGGGGGGAAACTGAGGCTGAGAAAGGTGAAATACCCTATTTGAGAACACTGCCACAGCAGCAATGTAGAAAATAAGCCACTCTGGTCATGTCCTTCCAGACAACCCTAGTACACAGAGGGTTAAGAAAATGAACTCTAGCGGCTGGCGTTAGGACCCACAGTGGATTCCACATGCACCATGAAAGCGCCAAGTTGCAGACCCAGCAGGGGTTCACCGTTCTAGCTTCCTGCCACCCACACAGGAGACCTGGGTTGCACTCAGTACCTGGCTGCAGCCCCGGCCCAGCCCAAAACCAGCCATTGCAGGTATTTGGGGAGTAAACTAGTAGATGGGCAATTTCTCTCTGCCTCTCAAATAGAAACATGAAAATGTACTTTAATTAAAGCTTTCTGGGTCTCAAAACATTATTCCATGTTCACAGGGAGACAGAGAAAATGCTAAAAAACACCCCAGGCTGGCAATTCTAGCATTCAATCCTGGAGGGCTGGTTTGAGTCTCAGATGTTTTGCTTCCTATTCTAGCTTCCTGCTGATGAAGCAGGTGATGGCCCAAGTGCTCGGGTCCCTGCCAGCTATGTTGGAGACGAGGACAGAATTCCTGCTTCCTGGCTTCAGACTCAGCAGCTGACCCAGATTTGTCTGAAAGCAAACCAGCAGACAGATCACGGTCTCTCCCTTGCTGTCACTCTGACTTTCAGGTAAACAAATCTTAAACAGAGCAGGTATGTTGCTGCTCATGGAAATAAATGATTGTTTAAGTCTCCGAGTGAAATGTGGCCTGCTTCATAAAGACACCTGAGGCTAGCAGGCTGGAAAGGAGGACCAGTCAGCACAAGCATCAGAAAGGCAGGCAGCTCCTGGAAAGGCCCTGGATTAAGCCTATGCCAAGCCTGCCCACATGCTAGATTGCCAGGTTCTAGTCAATTTCATTTAGATGTCGCCTGAGCACACACTGCTTGGGTCAGACCCTATGTGTGAGAGCGAAACTGCAGCCTGTGCCCATATGGGCTTCTGGTCATCAGAGGCAGAATGACTGCAGGCTCTGAGAGCCAGGGAGACGGGATGCAAAAGGTGGCAGGAGGACAACTGTGGAGGTCCTTCGTCTGCCTCTCCAGGGAAGGAAGGAGCACCCAGGTGTGAGGGCTTTGCACCTGCAGCCAGCGACCTTACCAGACTGGGAAATGCGAAGAGACACAGTGCTTGGTGGCTTGAAATTAGGCTGGAGACACCCTGAGGCAGACTGAATACAACTGAGTTCCTATCTTACAAAGATGCTGCTTACTGAGCCAAGCAGTTGTTATCAATTTTAAGACTTAGTATTCAGGTGAGGCTAGCCAGTGTGGTGACAACAGGGCTTACCACTGACAATGTCTGCTTTGGACTTCAGAGCTGTTACCAGGTACAGCAGTGTGCCTGAGACAGTGGATGGAACAAGACAAGCCCCTCAGGGAGGCCTGAAGGGCCAGAGGAAGAAGCCAGTCGGGGTCAAGAGCAACATCAGGAGGCTTTGAAACCGGGAGAAGCAAAGGCTGTTAGGGGAGGCACAGG